CATGTCCCCTATCCCCATGTCCCCTATCCCTATGTCCCCATCCCTATGTCCCCATCCCTATGTCCCCATCCCATGTCCCCTGTCCCTGTCCCCTCACCGTCTCTCCGGTACCGGTGGCCATCCCATGGTTCCGCTGGCCGTCGGTTCCGGGCCATCTCCTCCTTGCCGCATTCTCCCAGCTCACAGCAACCACAGATGTCCCTCGTCCCCTCCACGGGCGCCCAGCTGTGGCGGGGAGGTGACATCCGTCACCCGCTGCCACCCGGGGTCACCACGGTGTCCCCGCAGTGTCCCTGCAGTGTCCCCATGGCGTCCCCGCAGTGTCCCCGCGGTGTCCCCACGGTGTCACTCACGCCTGGCGCGCCTTGCTGAAGGAGCAGGCCTTGTTCAGCGCGTCGGGGCTGCGCTCGGCCGGCGTCACCTTCAGGTGGCACCTGATGTAGATCTGTGGGGAGAGGACACTGCTGGGGACACTGTGGGGACACCGGGGACACCGCGGGGACACCACGGGGACAGCGGTACCAGGCTGCGGGCGTCGCCGGCGAAGCGGAAGGCGTCGATCTGGAAGCGCAGCATGTCCTGCCGGGGACGGGGGGTGACGAAGGCCGAGGCGGTGGCATCCGAGCGCCCGTCCACCAGACAGCTGTGGGGACAGCGGTGGCACCGAGGTGACATCGCAGGTGGCATTGCGGGCCACCGTGGGGAGGTGACAAGGGAGCAGAGCCACCAGGGCCGAGCGTGGAGCTCCCTCGAAAAATGCGCCCAGAGTGTCCCTGGGTGTCGCCAAACGTCCCCAAATGTCCCCAAACTGACCCCAAACTGACCCCAGGCATCCTCAGCTGTCCCCAAATGTCCCCAAACGTCCCCAGCCATTCCCAAACGTTTTCAAACTGTCCCCTCACACCTGTGGAAGTCGATGAGGGGGCAGCAGGGCGGGATGAGGTGTCACCACCGTGTCCCACACCCCAAACGTCCCCAAACATTCCCAAACAACTCCAAATGTCTCCAGACACCCCCAAACATTCCCGATCATCCCCGCACATTCCCAGCTCACCTATGGAAGTCAGTGAGGGGCAGCGGGGAGGGATGAGCTGTCACCACCATGTCCCAGACCCCAAACATTCCCAAACATCCCCAAACATCCTCAAACGTCCCAAAATGTCCCCAAACTTCTCCCAAGCTGACCCCAAACATCCCCAGCTGTCCCCAAATGCCCCCAAACATTCCCAAACTACTCCAAAGGTCCCCAGATGTCTCCAAACATTCCCAAACATTCCCAGCACACCTGTGGAAGTCAGTGAGGGCGCAGTGGGGCGGGATGAGGTGTCACCACCCCCTGACCGTGCCCCAAACCCCAAACATCCCCAAGCATTCCCAAACATCCCCAAACATTCCCAAACATTCCCAGACATTTCCAGACATCTCCAAACTACTCCAAATGTCCCCAAACATTGCCAGCCATCCCCGCACATTCCCGGTTCACCCATGGAAGTCAATGAGGGGTTCACCCATGGAAGTCAATGAGGGTGTACCAGGGCGGGATGAGGTGTCCCAGACCCCAAAGATTCCCAAACATTCTCAAATGACTCCAAAGGTCCCCAAATGTCCCCAAACTGACCCCAAACATTCCCAAACACTCCCAGTGCACCCGTGGAAGTCGATGAGGGCATAGGAGGACAGGATGAGATGTCACCACCATGTCCCAGACCCCAACATCCTCAAACATCCCCAAATGTCCCCCAAACTGACCCCAAACATCCCCAAACATCCCCAAATTTTCCCAACATTCCCAAACATTCCCAAACATTCCTGGCTCACCCATGGAAGTCGATGAGGGCGCAACAGGACAGGATGAGGTGTCACTGCCGTGTCCCAGACCCCAAACATTCCCAAACATTCCCAGACATTTCCAGACATCTCCAAACTACTCCAAATGTCCCCAAACATTCCCAGCCATCCCCGCACATTCCCGGTTCACCCATGGAAGTCAATGAGGGCGTACCAGGGTGGGATGAGGTGTCACCACCATGTCCCAGACCCCAAACATCCTCAACCATCCCTAAACATTCCCAAACATCCCCAAACATCCCCAAATATCCCCAAACATCCCCAAACTTTCCCAGACATTCCCAAGCATTCCAAGCCATTCCCGATCATCCCCGCACATTCCCAGCTCACCCGTGGAAGTCGATCAGGGTGTAGAGAGGCGGGATGAGCTGTCACCACCATGTCCCAGACCCAAAACATTCCCAAACATCCCCAAACATCCCTAAACATTCCCAAACATCCCCAAACATTCCCGCACAACCCCGCCCATTCCCGGTCCGCCTGTGGAAGTTGATCAGGGCGTACCAGGGAGGGATGAAGTGTCACCACCATGTCCCAGACCCCAAACATTCCCAAACATCCCCAAACATTCCCAAACATCCCCAGACATTCCCAAACATTCCCGGCTCACCCGTGGAAGTCGATCAGGGCGTAGCGGGGCTCGCTGCCGGCACCGGGGCCCAGCGAGGCCACGCAGGAATCCACGAAGAGCCGGAGCGGGACGTGGCCCCCAGAGCTGACCTCGGCCTGGATGCGCAGCACCTCCCCCAGGCGGAACGGAGAGAATTCCCGATCCGAGCTCCAGTCCTCTGGAAAATCCAACAGGAAAAGGGATGGAACCCTGGGAATTCCCACTCAGAGCTCCAGTCCTCTGGAATTCCAACAGGAAAAGGGATGGAACCCCGGGAATTCCCACTCAGAGCTCCAGACCCTGGGAAATCCAATGGGAAAAGGGATGGAACCCCAGGAATTCCCAATCCAAGCTCCAGTCCTTGGGAAATCCAATGGGAAAATGGATGGGAAAGGGATGGGAAAGGGATGGGAAAGTGGAAACCCTGTGAATTCCCACTCGGAGCTCCGGTCATCTGGGAGTTCCAACGAGAAAAGGGATGGGAAATCCATTGGGAAAAGGGATGGGAAAGGGATAGAATCCTGGGAATTCCCACTCGGAGCTCCAGTCCTTGGGAAATCCAATGGGAAAAGGGATGGAACAGTGGGAACAGGCCGGAGATTCCCGATCCCGCACCGTTCATGAGGCGCAGGGAGAACTGGAGCCGCTCCTCGGCTGCCAGCGCCGAGTTGAAGGGAGCCCAGGTGGGACGGATGGAACCGCTGGAGACGTTATCCCGCCTGGAAAATCGGGAATGGGAACACTGGGAATGGGGAACTGCTGGAGACGTTATCCCACCTGGAAAATCGGGAATGGGAACTCTGGGAACACTGGGAATGGGACATTGGGAATGGGAACTCTGGGATGGGACACTGGGAATGGGAACACTGGGAATGGAAATGGGAACCCTGGGAACACTGGGAATGGGAACATTGGGAATGGGAACTCTGGGAATGGGAACTCTGGGAATGGGAACTCTGGAATGGGATTGGGAACACTGGGAATGGGGGGACACTGGTCCCTGCCTGGAAAAGGGAATCAGGATCAGGATCAGGATCTGGGATGGGAATGGAACACTGGGAATGGGACACTGGGGTGGGAATGGGGATGGGACACTGGATTGGAGTGTAAATCCCGGGAATATGGGATGGGATCCCAGGATGGGAATGGGATTCCCAGGATTGCCAGGAATCTGGGATGGGAATGGGAACAAAGGGAGGGAATGGGCAGCCCAGAATGGGAACGGGAACGCCGGGAATGCGGGCTGGGATCCCAGGAAGGGAACAGGATTCCCAGGATTCCCGGGAATGCGGGCTGGGATACCTGGGATAGTGGCACTCGATGGGAATGATGGCCGGGCTGCTGCGCACGATGGCCGGGTTGCTGCCGGGGCTGGGATCGTAGCTCAGGAGCGTCCGGTAAATCAGGGAATCCGGAGTGACCTGGGAATAAAACCCGGGAATTCTCCATGGGAAACTGGGGGGAATCTGGGAATTCAGGGTGAGCTGGGAATGGGAACGGGGAATTCCGTAGGAGAGGCCACGGATTGGGCCAGCAGCAGCGGTGGGGGATCCATGGAAAAGGGGGAAAAGGGATGGGAAAGAGGGAAAGGGGTGGGAAAGGGAGGCAAAATGATGGGAAGAAAGGGATGGAAAAGGGGATGGGAAAGGGATGGGGAAAAGGGATGGAAAGAAAGGGATGGAAAACAGGGAAAAGGGATGGGAAAGGAACAGAAAAAGGATGGAAAAGGGGGGAAAAGGGGTGGAAAAGGGATGGGAAAAGGGAATGGAAAAGGGGATGGAAAAGGGAATGGAAAAGAGGATGGAAAAGGAGGGGAAAGGAGGGGAAAATGGGAAAAGGGATGGAAAAATCTCAGTTTCAAGCCGATGGAAAAGGGACTTTTCCCAGAAGAATGGGAAAAGCTACAAGAAAACCGCTCTGATTCCCAGGAAATCCTGGCTCCTCCTTCCCCTGGAATAATCCTGGATCCAGCCCCTGGATCTCCCGTAAAACCGGGAATGCGCGCGGCTCCAGGAGCGAATTCCGGTGGGAAACCCGGGATGGGAACAGGGATTTACCTGGATCTCCCTCAAAACCTGGGATTTGCCGGGATAAACCTCGGGAGCCTCTCCAGGTGGGAATCCCACTGGGAATTCGGCAGGAATCCCGCTGGGAATTCCGGGACGGCACCGAGGACTCACCTGGATCTCTCCCGACCCCACCGGGACCTCCCGGAGCCTTTCCCGGTGGGAATTCCGGGATCGGGCCGGGGCTCTCCGGGAGCCTCTCCAGGGCGGGAATCCCGCTGGGAATTCTGCCGGGAATCCCTGGAATGTCGGCGGGGCTCACCTGGACGGTGCTGCCGCACTCGTGGAGGCCGGCGCTGAAGGTGACGGTTTTTTGGGATGGATCCAAGCGGGAATATTTGCAGGCGGCGGGACCCAGGCTGAGCTCGGCGGCGCTGACCAAGCGGCCGTTCCCGAATAAATCCCGGTGCACGATCACCACCAGCTGCGCTTCCTGGCACTGCACTTCCACGGGAATCTGGGAATGCTGCTGGGAACGCGCCGGGGACTGGGAATCGTCCTCCCAAATCCATGGATTTGGGTCTCTCCGCGCCGCTTCCCAAGGAGGAGGAGCCGCGGCCGCCGGGGCCGCGCAGAGCAGCGCCAGGAGGAGGCGGATTTGGGAGCGCATCCTGGAAAAAAAAACCCCTGGAATTCCCAGCCCGGAGGTTCTTCCCGGATTTATAACCCGCTTGGGATGGGCCCCTCCCGCCTCTTCATCCCCCTCTGGAATTCCAAGGGCGCCCCCCGAGCGCGCTCCCGTCATTTCCGAAGGATCGGGATGAGCATTCCCGGCGGGATTTTATTGTTTTGGGGTTTTTTTTGGGAATTGTTTATCCCGGCCGGAGCCGGCTGAGGGAATTGTTTGGGTTCCCGGTGGATAAGGAGCGATCCAAGGCTCCGCTTTTTTCCCCCCCTCCTGGGATCCCGAATTCCAGGGATAATCCCGGCACCCCCCGCAGCGCCGCTTTCCCAAAAAAAAAAAAAAAAAAAAAAAAAAAAAAAAGAAAGAATTGCGTTCTATCCCCAAAAAAACCCCGGGATTTGCGTATCCCGAGGGGGTCGGATCCTCGGGAATGACGGAGAACCCAAAATTCCAACCCCGGGAGCGAAGTCGGAGCCAAAATTCCTTCTTT